GTGTGAAGCTATTTCTGAAAATCCAGTCCAAAATCTTTGTCAATGAGAACCGAATTTTGGAATGAATATAACAATTGAACTCACCTTTCTGGTTTGGTTTGTCGAAGATCGTGACTTAGCACTATACTATCTTCACCAGCACTGAGGATAACATGGGGTTGATCTGGTAGAATAGCTAATTTATGACAAGGCCCTTTGTGGCATCCCAATTTCCTATATTCCCTTACTCCTTCAGAAGATATTCTGGCAACTCTGACCTGAATAAAATGAAATTGCATCACTGATCAGCATTTGATCAACTAGTAAATTTTATTAAATCTAAACAAAGACAATCTCTACGCAAAGTCATATTTATATTCTAGACTGTGCAGCAGTTTGTGTTACTTTAATAGTAATAATAATAATATTTATTTGCCAAAAACAACTACAGTCACCAATGTCACAAATGAATGAAGAGTTAGCCACATAAAGCATTGCTTTGTACCGTGGTTAAGAAAAAAGAAAAAGTAAGGACTAGAAAGGCAAAGAATGAAAGTTATCATTCATTATACATCAATGATTTATAGGTATCAACAGTCTTCAGTCAATAATAATGCATAACAGTCTTTTACTCATGTGATCATGACTAACAATGTTTATGTACCGATAATTATAGAAGGGGCTCAAAAAAATCACAGATTTGAACATAAAACGGCTTCTATCATTCAGCAGTACTCCACAATTGTGATATGTTTGATGATCATTCCATAAGTCATAGTTAGGCTTGATAATAAGATGTAGTTGCAGATAAGAAAAACCATGAATGAGAAAAACCGTGAAGGAAGAAAGGAAAGAGAGGATGAAGAAGGTCTACGAACTATAGTTGATTCAAACAATTTAAGGTAGCTTCTTTGAAAAACACTGTTTTTTTCCCATTTACATGTAGTAATGTAGTAATTATTTTTTGTATCGATGAATTGGTGTAAGTTTTCTCGAGGTATACTAAGTAATAATTTTTTGTATGACTGTTAAACATTTCTGGGGAATTAATTTTTTTCATCCAATGTGTTATATAATTTAGGTCCTAGATGGCATCTCTTGCAATGGTTTTTTCTGGTTTTGGTATTTTAAGGGCATTCATTTTGTGTCTTGTGTTATGTATATGTGATATGTGTTGATACTTGAGAAGACTGTGACAGAATAATTGGCAAATATCAAGTACAACATAAACGACATAAAGACCCAAAAATTTCACACATAATACCTTGTCAATTTGATAATTGCCAATTTCAATGTCTGTATTAGCTAACTGTTTTGAGAGTTCCGTGGTGGCCGTGGTAGGGGACGGACGTGCTGATAACGTCCCTCCACAAAGAAGGTACGCGGATGCCATGTGCTATCATGGGGCTCCGTTTTGTGTTGTGTCGTATTAAAACTAAAATGTGAAGTGTCTAAAAAAGTGAAGAATAAGTGGCCCCCTTTATTCACNCTTAAATGTGTTTTTTTAAGTACTCCGTTATTCCCATATATATTTTTTAAGCGTATTGCTTTTTTCCTGGTGTTTTTGTATTGGACTGAATATTTATTAGGTAGTTAAGTAATGCAATTTTATCTCGAAACAGCTGTTTGCTCACTTATCGAGTATTTATCATCAGTGCAAAAAAAATATTCACTGTATGAATGTTCTCATTACTGTGTTTGCTTTTTGTATTATACTGTCATTTCGATGTATATTTTTAAGTGTGATGCTTCTTTCATAATGTTCTTGTATCGAATTGAATATATTTTTCTTTTCATATAGTTAAACATGAAACAAGTGTTTGCCCACTTATCAAGCAGATATCATTTATGAAAAAAAATTGTATTTGCTGTATACATTCTCTCTCTCTTTTCATTAATAAATGATTTTTTTTCAGATTGTGGAAAACTTAACACTTGAAGAGAATCAGCAAATAGTTCTCCATTAAAAATTTGAAGCAAAACAGCAGAATTAGTTTTATTCATATCTCCACTACCCACTTAGGCGACACATACAGTCTAGACTATCTTCTTCAGTTGCATAGACAGGAAATGAAAACATGATAATGATGGTAACTCATATCTCACGCACAATGTCCAGTCCAACACCTAATTTGCATTTATTATGTTCAACAATACTCCACTGAAAGATACCAACTGCACTCACGATATGGAAATATTACAGACAAGAACATCAATTATCGATTAGTTTGATAGGCAGGTAACTGATATGTTAATAAATCCACTGATCAAACATTCATCACGTGTGTATTTATAATATATAATAACTCAATAGCGACCTGCCAGATGCATTAACAGAAGTACCAATAAGTTTCATCGAATTTCTTGGACATTTATTACGTGGGAGTATTTAATTCGGATTTTCTTTTGTTCGTTCACTTCCTGTCATGAAACGATTCTGGAGACCACGCATAATCCATGAGAACAAATTACTTTTTTCGAACGTTTGATAGACAATGTGTCAAAAGCATAAAACAAGACTATAAGAGAGAGGCTAGAAGTGATTTTTCATGCAAATGGCGAAGGAGAACTATTAATCTTGTACATAAATTATTCCCGAATAGCACTTCTATGATGAATCGGTAGTTGACTACTTCTGGTCATTTGAAATAACAGGCCGATGAACTTTTTTAACAAAAAAAATTATTTAGCCAACATTAACACAGATTAGAAAAACTGTGAATCTATAACTTTGTCCATCTAAGCAACAGAGTGATCCAAAATATTATCATGTATAGTGCACGCAATCTCCCAGGCAAGGCTGCTTGTACAGAGTCGCGCTAAGGAACGACCAAAATTTTATTTTATTTTTTCGATAATATGCGGCTGGGTATAGAAAAAACTTTTATGTGGAATAAAAGGACACAAGTAAGCAGTAGAATAGAATAAAATAGAATAGAATATGCGTTTATTTCCTGGAGACAGTATATGCTGTATGGAAAAAGTCAAACTTGAGGTTTAATACATAATGCATATAGCAGCAATAAATGAATGACAAACACCTCATAAAAACATGAAAAAAATTATATCGTACTGAAAATTATTTGAAATTATCAATGCCCGGGATTCGATAGAGTCGACGAAATCCATTTCTGCTGATAAAAAAGTTATCGAAGTGCTTGAAAAGATAATGGCGGTTGGCAAGAGGTCTGTGGAGTTTGATGGGTGTGGCAGAACTTCAATGCTTAATTCGTTCAATTTTGGACGCACCTCTTCTGTTGAGCAGTGTCGTAGTTGATGATCCGCGTCTAGCGCATTCATCAGCTTTATCATTACCTGTGATTCCTGAATGCCCTGGCACCCAGTACAAAGTTAATTTGTTCCTGTTTGCAAGTTCATTCAGTTCTTCATGGCATTCTCAGACCAGTTTTGATGTCACCTTCGGGTTTGTCATAGCCCCTAGTGCGCTCCTGCTGTTTGAAAAAATATTGATCCGCTCATTTCTTTGAGGTCTCAATTTAATAAGTCTTGCACACTGCAAGATAGCATACACTTCCGCCAGACAGACGGATGTGTATAGTCCTAGCGGATAACTGTAGTTTAAATGTCTATCCGCTCGGTATATTCCAGCTCCCGTTCCATATTTGGTTTTCGATATCTGTATACCAGGTTTTTTTTCCAAACATATTTTCGGGATGACTAATGGTCTTCCACTCTTCACGGCTTATGATTTTGGCCGTGAAGTTTGTGTTAAAGGTGTACTTCGGTGTCATGTGGTCCGTGCACATATTCAATATGTGCTCTTCCACTTTTTCCAAAATTTCTGTTCGGTCCGATCTTTTATAGTTCGGTAAGTTTTCCAGTCTGAATTGGCCCATCCTGGCCTTCCCCATTATCACAAAGTGTAAAGGAGGTAGATTCAGGAGTGTCTCCAATGCAGATGTTGGGGTAGTTCTCATTGCATTCGTCATTCCCAAACATGCAAGTCTTTACACCTTGCCTAGTTTGTTGATGGCGGTCGCCTGCTTCATCTTTGGCCACCAGACCATAGATACGTATGTTATTATGGGTTTAACCACCATCGTGTATACCCAATATACCATGTCTGGTTTCAGCCCCAATGTTTTTCCATAGGTGCGTCTGGTGAGCATCAGTGCTACCTCCGCATTCCTCTTCATTCTGTCCAAGTGTTGGTTCCAGGTCAGTTTGGAATCTAGAATTACTCCCAGATATTCAACCTTCCCTACCCTGGACTAAGATGACTAAGTCGTCTGCATAGCCCAGTGCTTTATACCCATTGTGGTCCAAGAGACATAATCGCTCGTCCATTACAAGGTTTCATAACAGAGGGAATAGAACCCCCCCTGAGGACAGCCCCTTGCTACCCGTGCCACGAATGTTTCCTCCATAATGGTTGTATTTACCAATCTTCCCCTAAGCATGCAGTCTATCCACCTACAGTTTGTCTTGTCGATCCCTCTTCTCCTCGACGCCTGGATGATTGATTCTTACGACGTATTATCAAATGCGCCCTCAATGTCCAAGAGAGCAGCTAAAAGTACTTCCTTGTTTTTGTAAGTATATTTTCTTAGGTTTCGGAATGAAGGTGGCCCTGATCAGTCTCCAAATTTTTGGTATGTGTCCCAGTGCTAAAATTGCCCTGAAAATTATACTGTAGGTCGACCATTCTGGGGATCATCTTCGAGGCTGAAATATGGAACGAAATTTCCCAAACCAACGTCAGACTGTGTGCGTCAAATAACACACACTATCATTGACAAATGCCTGAGGCAGAAAATTAAAATTTGGAGACAATTAACAATATCAACATATACAAAACGAGTACAAAATCTTCTTTCGATCAGTATAAATCACGACACAGTAGAATGAATATTTATCGAGATATGGAGTAACTAATATACATGATATTTTTCACCACGCTTTTGGCAATTTTGCCAGGATTAAACCTTCTTTCAACCCCTTCAAGACATCCCCTCATAAACTCGAATTCTAAAATCCCTGTATATTCAAAAAATGTCCACTTGAAGTGACGAAGTCTATTTTTATTTTCGTAACTATTTCATTTGAAATCCTCAAATATTGTGAATTCACTATATCACAAAATGTTTTTGCTCTTAACGTGCAGTGCTGTCGTTCTAACAAGTGTTTAATTACCATCAAGAATTTCTGGATAAAATTTAGGCAACGAACAACCAACCTGCCTTATAATTTGTTGAGCAGCATAACAACCAGTTCTAACACAATCTTCTATACTTAAATCACTCCAAAGGGCCGCTATGAACCCCCCAGCAAAAGCGTCACCTGCGCCTGTAGTATCTTTAATATCTGTCTCGTTCATCTTCGGAACCTCAAACTTGTACGATTTCCCTCTGTCGTAAAAGCATAAAACTGGATCAGGTCCATCGGTTATGACTAGCATGTTTCCATATTTCTTCATTTTGTTCCTACCATTTTTCAATAGAACTTGGGCTAAATCTCTTATGCTTTGGAAATGCATGATGTTTGTTACAGCTTCAAATTCTTCTTTGTTACCAAAAACAACATCAGAGCGTTCTACGAAATATTTCATAGTGTCTGGTAGGAGGTTACATACGTATCGTCCAGCGATGTTGAACAGAATGGTTTTTCTGTGATAGTCACAATTTACAAGGTATTTAGCAGTTTCTACTCGATTTGTGAGGAAAAAACCTTCTATATAAATAAAGTCCGACTTTGCCATCGATTCATGAAACTGGTCTTCGGCAAGAAGAGCATCCAGTGGAAGTTTCTCAGCTGCTCCAATATGAGCAACCAATGACCGGTTTTCTCCTTTGACCAGCGCTATTGTCTTCCCTGTTGGCAAGTGCTTTTGGACAATGTACTTAGTTTTAACACCATCATTCGCCAATAATTTCCTGAGAATGGTTGCTTCTTCATCGCTACCGACTGACCCAAATATAGTTGCATCACATTGTTTTCTCATCATCCACTGCATTACCCTTATACAGTTTTGAGCACAACCGCCTGCATTCACATGGTGCTCGCTATCTAGTACATACCGAAAGAGAGTCTTCAACTCATTTTCAGGTACTTCTTTCTGGTCATTTTCTTTGAGGTTGAATTTCTTCAATAAACTAGTATCACTCAACAAGATAGATGTGTCCAATAGAGGATTTCCGAAAGCTACTATTCTTTTCATGGACTTGGTCAAAATTGGAATTCTAGAAGTCATCAATACATTTTTGAAATATCCGTCAAAAGTTCGTTAGTACTGTCAATTGACTACATTGTTGCCACATATCCATAAAAACCGCAATTGTTTGAAGACTAAGAGAGCCTTGTGTGATTTTTTCTCTCCAACTAATGATGTTGCAGCCAGAAAGAGACCCAGTCACTTCCTGGCTGTACCAGGAGAGAAAAAAAACTAATCCTGAACAAGTCAGCAAATGCTTACACTCAAATGATGATTCATCGAAACCAAAAGGCGATGAAGAACTGCTTGGCTGAATCAATGTATATTCAGGTGTAGTCGATTTGCATACATCCGCATATAGGATGGTTGTTCTAGCTATGAAGGGGTGTTACTCTTGTTTGTTGAATATCGAACTACTCCATTACTGACCAATCAAATGGTTATTCCAGAAGATGATCCACAGGCACAATTTCAGAGCTGCACATATCAGTCAGGATGGTTACCTTTGAGAATCAAGAGGGCGTCCTGGCCTGTGGGTGTAGACAAACTCACTAAGCCACACATCTGTGTTGCTTACTCACCTGTCACATTGAGATTATCAATCAAAACCTCACTACATTGAGGAAAATCAACTCTGGTGTTTTAACCTGCAGTGGATTGAGAAATTTGAGGCCCTGTCCAAACATAAACCTTCGCTTTTGACTAAGGAGTCATGGTCGTGACGGAGAGAATGGGAGGTGGACCACATTTTGGTTTTGGGCAGGTTTTGTTCGACTGTAAAACCCAGCAAGTCCCAACAGACAGTTGCTCAATTGGCTCACTCTAAGGAAGCTGATAGAGCTGAAAAAATTAGGCCAAATGGAAATCCTTCTATGGAGGTGAGAGTACACCAAATATAGGAGGAGTATGGTTCTTTCTCGTACTCATGATTCCTGTAAGCCTGGAGTTGAAAAACCATCTGCTACTCAGTTAGATGGATGACGTTGCGACAAAGAAATCTGGAGAAGGAACAAACACCAGATCCGTCTCATTCATCGGATCTGAGAAACCAGCTGGCGCCTGAGTGACTAAAAATGTTTCACCTCGTCATTTGAACAAACTCATCCTCTAATCTTGCCTGAAGTTGGAAAACCATCTACTCCTCACTTAGAAGGGTGACGTTGCGACAAAGAAATCTGGAGAAGAAACAAACACGAGATCTGTCTAATTCATCGGATCTGAGGAACCAGCTGGCTTCTGAGTTCTATATGGTTATGAAGTTTTGGTAACGTTAAGCGAATTTCCTACCACCTAGTTGGTGTAGGAATGCAAGTCATTTTTGGCCAGGGAACCTTACGGAATGACGTGAAAGTTTTTATTTTTCTTAGTTGTTGGAACTTCAATATAGTTTGATAGATCTCTCAAATTGTTTTGCCCTTTGTTTTGGAACTGATCTACTTGAAATGCTTTGACATATCACAATAATATAAAACTGTATATATCACAATATATACAGTTTTGGTTGAAAGGGTCATAACTGGCGAAGAACAGAGAACGTGTTACCTCAGGGCTAGTACTAGAGTGCCACCAAAATTTATCCAAAGCCTCGGTGGATAATAACATCCTGAGGTGGATTGAAGGGCACGACAGGAGTGAAGGTAATCGCATTGCCGACTCTTTAGCCAAGGAAGCGGCTGGACTAAGAATTTTAGGACCCAGTGGCATCTACGGCCTGATGACTTCGACAATTGCGGAACTAGCCAAACGTTACACCCATGCTCAATCCCTGAAGAGATGGGATGAAATCAAAGGATGCAGTCTTGCCAGTATCATCCTGGGCGACCCTTGGAAGCTGGCGCCGAAAAATCATCAGGCGATGACCAGGAAAAATCTACGCCTAACAGTAGGATTTCTGACTGGAAACTGTCAACTAATGAAACGCCTCCATAATATGGGGCTAGTGGTCAGACCTCTATGCAGAATGTGTTAACAGAAATAAGAAACTTTCAGGCATGTCCTATGCGAGTGTCCGGAGACTGTGTGTTCGACGCGTCTTGGCCTACACCTGCCAATATAAAGGAGATGTCTCATGAGACCTGTCCACCTTCCTGGAAAAGACAAGATGGATGATGACCTAGGAGGACAACTCCTCGGGAGGATGTACAATGGGTCACATGTAGCCTGAGTGCTCTGGGCCTACACTCACCCTCCCTACTCTACAGATACAGAACTGGTGAAGAATCATGAGTATCGGTTATGACATCGGAAACAGAGTCCAATCATCTCAATGAAAGACCCCAAGAGAGCCAAAACTAAAAATAGCGCTCCAACTTCGATCAAATGTCAAGCTTTTGCTCACTGTTTCCTTCGATTACCAAGACGTAGTGCATCAGGAATTCTTGCCATATGACTTTGTCCTGTTTCCAAGACTGGGGAGATTCATGAAAACACGACATTTTGTGACGATTTAGGATAACTGCGTTGAATATTGTGAAAAAACCCTGGCACAAGTGTATTATATCTGGCGGGAACTACTTTGGAGGAGACCAAATAGAAATTGATGAATAAATCAATATTTTTTTGTCAACTAATGAAACGCCTCCATAATATGGGGCTAGTGGTCAGACCTCTATGCAGGATGTGTTAACAGAAATATGAAACTGTCAGGCATGTCCTATGCGAGTGTTCGACGCGTCTTGGCCTACACCTGCCAATATAAAGGAGATGTCTCATGAGACCTGTCCACCTTCCTGGAAATGACAAGATGGATGATGACCTAGAAGGACAACTCCTCCGGAGGATGTACAATGGGTCACATGTGGCCTGAGTTCTGTGGGCCTACACTCACCCTCCCTACTCTACAGATACAGAACTGGTGAAGAATCAGGAGTATCGGTTATGACATCGGAAACAGAGTTCAATCATTTCAATAAAAGACCCCAAGAGAGACAAAACTAAAAATAGCGCTCCAACTTCGATCAAATGTCAAGCGTTTGCTCACTGTTTTCTTCGATTACCGTGAAGTAGTGCATCAGGAATTCTTGCCACATGACTTTGTCCTGTTTCCAAGACTGGGGAGATCCATGAAAAGACGGTATTTTGTGACGATTTGAGATAACTGCGTTGAAGATTGTAAAAAACCCCTGGCACAAGTGTATTATATCTGGCGGGAACTACTTTGGAGGAGACCAAATAGAAATTGATGAATAAATGAATATTTTTTGGCTGATTTTTTTCAACAAACCTCGTACTAACATGTCAAAGCAATAATTCCAATGAACAAATAATAGTGGGCAAATCAAACATAACAGTGTTTTTACTGTGAAATTTATTATATATTCAATTCAGCTCCATCAATAACGATACAAATAATGAACTTTTCGAAACAAAAGCAGTAATGAACGACCAGACCCAGTTCGGAGTGATATAGAAGGCTATTTTCACGTGAGTAATAGGTAATTATAAAGCTGGATATGGTTAAAAAGTAGAAATAAGCACCAAAGTCAGAAACCGTATAAAAATGCCACTATAATTATAAAACATCGGATGGCTCCTTAATTGCCGTGACAGAATGTATCTTGTTCTACTTTGGAGATTTTTCTGATAAAAGTTTCAAAGCGTTACTCACTCCAGGCATTTTAATTTAAGTTTATTAATCACCCATTAACGGAACTATCTCAGTCGATGTCTAATATGCCTTAAAAGTATAATAACCTGTGACATCGTGATTTTTTATACATTGTTACATGGCAGGTTACTTTGTTCTCTCCTGTCATACAATTGATAATTATTAGGTCATTTCCTTCGTAGAACTTGGAGAATGTTTCCAACTCGCTATGCACAATAGGTTCATAGATTAAAACCATCGTGATTTAACTATCAAATATTTGTGATAGAGAGCAGCTCTAAGTTCAGTTATTCAGCTGATACAGCTCCGCAGTGATATCAGAATACATATGCCTCCATTTCCTTTCTGTCAACGTCAGAGAATCAGCTCGACCAAATAAACCCAGCTTCTTAACGAAGCCCACTGAATGACTAACTAACTAACTGACTCACCGGCTGATTAACTGACTGACTCACTGACTAACCGACCCACTGACTGAAGGACTGACTCACTCACTGACTAACTGAATGTCTGACTGACTCACTGGCTAAAAAACTGAGGGGCTCACTGACTGATTGACTAGCTTGCTGACACAATCACTGTCTGATTCACTCGCTCACTCACTGATTGACTCACCCATGTACTGATTGANTCAGTGCGAAACATCCTGATGCCAATTTTTTGTTGATGTGTGCAATATGCTGGGAGAATTTTAAATTTTCATTAAATAAATTCCCAAAAATTTCAAAGTAGAGTTATATTTTATAGTGTTATTGTCTAGGGGGATATTACACTTGAATGCTAATATATTTGTTCTGTTGGTATTCAATGATAAAAGATTGGAGTCAAACCAGTTCTTCACTTTTTTCATGTCTTGGCACATTTTGTTATGCAATCTATTTTCGTTCTTGTCATGCCACAATAATGTGGTGTCGTCAGTAAACAAAGTAAAGCTTTCTGTAATCGATATATTGGTTAAATCATTAATATATAGCAGAAACAGTATAGAGCCCTGAGGTACTCTACAATGTATCTCTCCAACGTCCAAGTTAGATGACGTTTTCACAAATTGTTTTCTTTTCTTTCTTTTCAGAGAGGTATGAACTAATCCAAATATGACTGTTGTCCCTAAAACCATATTTTGTGAGTTTCCGAAGCCATATGGTGTGATTGACACAGTCAAAAGCTTTGAATAAGTCACAAAGCACTGCAGTGGCTTCCCCGCTGTTGATTTCATTATACACCAATTGCAATACTGTTGATATAGCTTCACTTGTGCTCTTAAAATTCTGAAAGAAATTGTATGACACTGAAGTTTTGTCTTTGTAAATATAATATACAGATTTGGGATGAAAGTGTTGAATATACATATAGTAACAATAATGTAACATGTAACGCATATGATGATTCAATTGATAGTGACCTGTAAGAAAGTATGTTAGACATCGTAGTTCATCCTCACTGTAGTCCATCAACTGTTTGGTA